TCTAATCATATTTCGCGCGTTACGGGCGTTAACATTGATAATGAACATTGATAAAAATGTGAGATGCTTAGTAATCCCTCTTCTAACGTAAATCAAATCTTTCGGAGTTCGTTTAAAGAATTTTAATCCAGTCCGATTTTTGATTATTTCGCGACATGAATTTTATAATTTTATAGTTAAGTTCAATTATTTTTCATACTGTGGAACTTGCAAAATGTGAGTCGCTCGAAGTTGACAGAACGCAGAAGTACGAATATGAAATTAAATATAAAATTGATAAAAGATTTCTTCTGAAGTAGACTTGCATTAAAGAATAAAACAAACAAACGGTTGAATTTGTCTCATCTTGAAGTAAAAAGAGGAGATTTCAAACAATAATGAACAATAATCACCGGAGAACTTGCAACACCCTCTCTTTCACGATTCTTTTTCCCCAACTCCACTGGTAACCAATCTTTAACCAGCGTGATCGAATCAGGTCGAACGTCAAATAGAAAAAAAAAAAGAGAGAAAGAGAGAAAAATTCGCCTCGTTCGGAGCAGTACAATTTCATGTTCCCCTTCAACGTTCCGCACCCAACGAAACGGGAAGTAATCGGAACGCGTGGACGCGTTTCAACACACCGCTTCATGAACGTAGGCTACATGCATCGGAAAACACCGAGGAAGAGAATTCAGCTTCAGTGGCAATTCGACGAAATCGATATTCGAGACGGATTTAGTTTGAAACCTAGACTAGAAAAATCGAATATTGTAGAATATATTAATTACGTTTCGCAGAAGTAAATGTGAAGTATTTTCAAACGAGGTTTTAGACATTTTACCAATCAACATTCGGTTGAAATTTTAGAATGTTGTTGATGTTAAACAGAATATTACACTGTGAAATTCGAAACACCCTTTATTTTCTAAACGAAACAGACTTCTTCGCGCAAAGAAATATCACAATGATGGCTCTGAATTTTGAAACATAATTAATTGAAGTTGCAGGAATATATATCCTCGTCCCTTATACAAAATTTTTGTATTTTAAAACTCCGCTTCCACTCTGCGACACGTTCTTCGAATTTTATTTTCATTCGGTCGAGAATTCGTGAGAGCACCGCGTTCCGCCCGCGGTATTAATTTGCGATTCAATTATCCACGGCGGAGTATTCGAAACAATATTTAGCCACAACTATATGGCGGAGTATATATATTTTCTGAACGCTGCGTAAGACATCTCTCGTTTAACACCCGTGGCCTCGAGCCCTGGCATGGTAATTGCGTCACGGCGAGTTCGTAATTGCTTGGCTTTGATTCGCCGGCATGAAAACGTCGATTTCCGCGATCGACTAACAAACGAACGCCCGTGTCTTTCGCGGTCCGAAACGTCGCGCGATTTCGCTTAACGAGCGGTCGTCTCATTAAAGTAACGTCGTTTTACGTTGCCACGTTATGACATCGTTACGTCTGGCGGGTTTCGAAAAGACGAGAGACGAGCTGGAATGATGAAAGATCGGTATCATGGACGAGAGTTCGAGTTAGAACGAGTTGTCACGTTTTTTTTTTTTTTTTTTTTTT